CAAGTCTCATTCTTTTGTTGGACTACAAGAATGGTGTACGGATACCCTGTGTTCCTGCCCAAATCTCACTCATTAGCTACTTCAATCATTAGTGCATTTTTATTTTTTCATGTAAAAATTATCTGTATTAGTTAAGATAATATTAAAGGGACTTGGCAACTCTAGCATTTCTTCCGCTGGTTTTAATTTTGTCATTGCATGTTTTCTCAACGAGCTCCCCTACAGCTCTGGGACGTGTATTTCACAACACGTCGTAAAAAAAACTCACTTGCGGCACCCTCCTCCCCTTTCTACCGCTGCTGATGTGCCTTTTTTTCGCCGGGCAACTTTTTCGTGTGGATCTATCTACCGAGGTGGGTAATACCAGAGCCCGTCTACGGAGAGCCTGGCCACTCCCTATTAAGTCCCATTGTACCGAATTTTGGTTGCAGTTCCACACAGAGTTCCACTAGGGGCGATCGCCCATGAGTGCAGAATGAATGGGAGCAGATGGAGCTAGATGGCTAAATGTCTCTTTCACCTGATTGTTGTTGAGAAATCTCAGATTTGATTGTAGTTTTTGCAAGTTCAACATGGGTTATAGGTCGAAAGTTGAATGAACGAGTACTTATGTCTTTCGATTTCTTACAGGTTGAGTTGTTGTTGCCCATAACACTTAGCATTCTGCTAATGAACGCTGATTGGTCAGTGAAGGACTGATTATACGACCAGAGATCCCGCTTGATGGCATCATGGCATCCGAAGCGGGACCGGAATGTTAAGGGGGACTTTTTCGCCCAATTCTTTTTTTTTTACACAGCAACTTTTTTTTGGTTGCTGGCACTTTTATCTGCTTATCGTTATGTATGTACTTATTAGACATGCTCTGGAAGCACAAAGTGACTCGAGCTTTGCCGTAAAGCAGTATCTCTGGCCGTACGATGTGTATGACGTCATTGACTTTTAAAAGACTTTTTAAAGCAAATAAGTGACTCTAAAAAATCTAACGCCAGCAATGTGTAATTTCTTTGACCCCTTTCGAATGCAACATTCAAATTACTGACAAAAATTATATCCTGAGAAAAGTGGATTTTTGAGGGTATAGCTCCATAGAGCTCCATTCATTCTGCACTCATCGTGTGAGCGCCCTCACATGGAACATTTTCACCAGAACAGGCCATTTAACCATCCAAATGATTTCTAACGGGTTATTAAGCTGAAAAAGTTGCCAAGTACACACAAACACACATATGCACACTCCCTGTCTACAGTGGCAATTAAAGAGACCTCTTGGGGCGAAGAGGTTGAGACCCGGCAGGGGACAGAGGAGCCTGTAGGGGGGAGGGACGGGATGAGGAGGAGGATGGGGGGGGGGTTTCATAAGTAGAGCTAATCAGAGCCGATTGATTCAAACTGAAAGCACGCTGATGAGTAAAAATAGAGACACACACACACACACACACACACACACATAAACAAGCATAAACAATACAACACAACAAACAATTAAACAGGTTTTGTGTTTGTTTGCTGAAAACTCATTTTAGCATTTTAGCATGCCTTTAGCTTTAGTCACAAATATGCTATCAAAGCTAATGAAACAATCTTTATTTTATGTCTGGCCCAGTATCGTAGAGTGGATATTATTATCCACATAAATTAACATTATTTATCCTGAGCTCAGTTTGCCTTCAGCAGTCGGAGAAGATTGTTTTGTCATTTATCTCATCCGAATTAAAAAGGTGTTTGTGTGTTTATAAGCTGCGATGGAGATAGACAGAAGATCTCAACCCCGTAATTATAACCTTTTTCTATTTCACCAACACCTAAAACAGCACATTAGTTTGCACAGACCACAACAGCTTAAAGCTATAATCTATAACATTTCCACCAATGTTCAGATCAGAGCCTGAAATGAGCTCGCACTCACTGGCACTTCTGATTTTTGTCAACAAGTACCCTTAAATCTCCTTACATCGACAAAGGCTTGATGCCAAAACACGACCGAAGTTTGTTTTTATGTCTGTCTTGACCATGCTGTGACAATGAAGAGAGTTCCTTGGAGTTTTCTTGTGAGTTTTGTGTCCACTTGTGTCTTTATCCAAAGAGCATGTCAACTCAATGTGAGTCCAGGAAATGCTCCTACCCAAACATTTTATGACACCTTTACCTGTTATTACATTCCGCCATCCCTCAATTAGGGTAATGGCACCTTTTTTGGTCGAATTCAGTGTCTGTCAATAACAGCCTCAATGGCATGTTCACATACTTTAGTATTTTTCCTGATTTGGGAATCCTAGCTACAATGAACAATTATATTTCAGACAACAGGGTTCTTGAGTTAGTTTTCGGTCCTTTTGTGTTTCAACTTGGCAGCCCCATAAAGAAATGTTTGGTGTGGTGTGTCTGGTGTGCATAGAGTCCCGACCTCAACCCCATTCATCACTGACTGTGAACCAGACCAGATAAGACCAACATCAGTGTTGGACCTCACGGATGCTCTGGTGGTCTGACCTGGACTAAATTCCTGCAGCAGGTTCAACATCGGCAGGAAAGACTGAAACCCGGACAGTAGAGGCTGTTAGAGCAGCACACTAATAAACACGGTCTGGAACGAGATGATCAACTCTCATATATGTCAAGCTGTCTGCATACATTTTTGGCCATGTTGTTGGAGTGCAGTGATGAGACATTTATCTCTGCTTTCAACTGAACTGAGAGGAATCAGTCACTGCCTTCGCTTATCACCCTCGATGATTAATGTCGCTACTGCACACACACACACACAGATAATCATGCTCAAATCTCAATTAATTTAAATGGATTTGAGCGCTCGCCACATCTCACAAGAAAGAGAAGGAGAAAACCAGGGATTGCTGAATGAGTGCAGAGGAAGCGAAGCACAAAAGAGCTAAATTTAGAGGAATGACTGCACCCAGACCAGCTGTAGTGGTATGAGGATGAAATGGAGGAGAATGGTGGCTGAATGCTGTGGGAGTTGTTGGGGACATCCGTGAAAGTCACATTGAGGCTCAGCTGGTTTGTTGCAGTTGAGCGGCGATCTGTCATAGGTAATATGTGTTTCAGCAATAAAAATTCAAACAAAAACAGAGAACTTTGAAGGAGCCGCATCTGAATATGCAGCCGTTGCCATATTCAGAATCTCCTGATCCAGTTGATTTGAACAGTTTTGGCTTAGCCCTTAAAAATCAAAGCCCATCAGACATCATTCAGTGATTTTTTTCAGCAACTGCACCTGGATCTTATTTCACTGGTACATGAAGCAAACACACTCATGGAGCCCTTAGCGTTATTGTTATTCTTCAGATAAGAGCAGCAGTTTATATCTGCAGCTGTAAACATGAAGGAATGGATGCAGACTGCAGATGATGGTTCAAACTTATTCTTAGTCTCTTTCACTGTTTTAGCTGTTGGCAGAACGACTAATGAACAGACAGACTGATGATGATGTTCGGGTAAAAGGTGTTAAAGTGTAGATTGAGCTTCAGTGTGAAGTTCAACACATCGCTGTGTTATTGTGAGGTGAGAACAGGTGTGTGTGTGTGTGTGTGTGTGTGTGAGGAGCATCAATTTGTATATTCATACATGTATGTAACTGCTGAAGTGACATGTAGTGTAGTTTCTGAAGCTTCTCATTAAGAAAATGTATGCTTTATAACAACTCATGGTCAAAATGACGGAGCCGGTCTGACTGCTTGCGTCTCCATGGAAACAGCAATTGCAATAATAGCTAAATCAAACAGTCTGGTTTTGACGCCAAAATATGACAGATAATATCCCAGCTTAGTGTGATGGGATGTGGGCTTATCCTTGCTCACTGTAAACAGGATACAACAGTTCATACACAGACTGACTGACTCAGTGAGGTTGGTCCATCCAACACTTTTGTCCAGAGGAAAACAAAGATTTTCATGATATTTCTATGGTAACAGCCAGTGTTACCTACATGCAACAGCTCAGAGAAGCAGAATTCCAGTTTAAGGAATTGGTTGAACTATTTTATTACCTCCCTGGTCTTTTCTGAGCAGAAGACTGAGATTTTTGTACTGTGCTATAGTTACAGGGAAAAGGTCAGTGTTGTAGATACAGGTCAGAGGTCTGTACTGTCTATTTGATTTATATAATAGTAATAATATTGATAATATTAACTTTTTAGTGAAGTCCAATAATTTTACACTAATTGTCTTTCAGAGACAGTAAAGCTTTGACAAAGTCAATTTGACAATAATAGCTGTAGATACTGGGCAGCAATCAGTGCTGTAGATACAGGGCAGAGGTCTATACTACCCTAAAAGTAGTGTGATTGCTGCAAGACACATTGTTATCTCAGTCTTTATTTTGCTTATTATTCTTTTTCTTCTCCATACCTTTTTCTGACCGTTATCTCTTTTGGACCGATAACTCTTGAACACAGCATTAAATTAAAACTGATTTTGGGTGGCATATATACTCTTTTAGAAGCTGTGCCTGCGAGCAGCAGATGCAGCAATCACACGCATTTTCTTCAGGAAATTAAAAATATTCTAGTTGTTTTACACATTCATAAGTTATTTTTGTTTTTTACTACAACTTCACGTTCATCTTGCAATGAATCGTGGGTCATTAAATCAGTGACCTAGGGGACGCTTGAGACTTGACAGTCCAGTGGTAGCTCATATTTTTATTGCTGATTGCTTTGTTTCCAGGACACAGCAGGGCAGGAGCGTTACCGCACCATCACCACGGCCTACTACCGCGGCGCCATGGGCTTCATCCTTATGTACGACATCACGAACGAGGAGTCCTTCAACGCTGTCCAGGACTGGTACGTGATTGCTCAGAAGCTGTAGTGTGTGTGCTTCTGTGTGTGTCTCCAATAAAAGTTCAATTAAAACATTTATATTTATAATGTGCTTTCAGGGCCACTCAGATTAAGACATACTCGTGGGACAACGCCCAGGTGATCATGGTGGGCAACAAGTGCGACATGGACGAGGAGAGAATCGTACCTCCAGAGAAAGGAAAACACCTCGCCGACCAGTTAGGTCAGCTCCAATTAGGTTGCAGTGCTTCAAAACTGATGTTTACCAAAACATTCATGGTATTAAAATCATGCTTCTGTGCAATATTTATACGTACTGTGAGAAAGAGCAGCTGAACTTCGACCTGGGGAAATACTTAAATAATATAACTATATTGCCTATTGCCAAATGACTGTGAGGTCTTTGAATCAAGAATGCACAAAACTGGTTTCAGCTCCACTGCTGGAAGCTATTTCTTCTCTAATGTATGTAAATGTACACATTGCAGGCTTCACTGAAAGGAGAGTCTGTTGCAAAAAGTTACCCAATGTTCAGGAAAACGTTACAGCAAACTTAAATGTCCTCGAGCAAAGTTTTTTGTGAGCAGCTACAGACGGAGATTGAAAGTGATGACATTTAATTTTTATCATGAAAAAGTCACATCAGAGGGATTTATCCAGACTGCATCTGTGAGATATCACACCACATCCAAATGTGTGGACTGGGCTCCCAGGTTACAGAAGATATTTGTGAAGTGGGAAGAAGAGTCTGAATACAGCAAACACACCTTGAGATGCTCAAATAGAAAACCACACCCAGCTTAAGTCAGTAAGAGCGTAAAGATTAGAGTGATAGGGAATGTTAAAGTCACTGGTTTCCAGAGTTTTTGGCTTAAAACAAAGAAATGTCTTCATGTGTCACAGATTTACATCTGAGTCAAGACCAGTTGGGACTTTTCCGTCTGCCAATTGTTTATTTTAAATTATTTTATAAGTCTGATAAACTATTCAGCATTTCACAAGAAAAGTGAAATTATTATCATTAACAGTATATATAATGGACAGAGTCTGTGTAGTGAAGCTAAAGTAGAAGTGTCTTAAACCTGCATTCTTTTGAATGGCCAGCAGGGGGCAGCTCCTAGCGGCCGCAAAAAAGATACTCTTTAAGTATTTTGATGACATTTAATGATTTAATATAATGTTTGATCAGCTTTTTGCTCCCTCCCCCCTCGGGCTCCCCTGTAATCCAAACACTGTCAAACAATATCTGTTTGTCATGGCATTAACACGGTAAAACCTGTTTGCTTTACATCTTCTAATCTCATGCATATTAAGCTCTTGGAGAGTAGCCCCGCCCTAAAGCATACCCTGCTTTATTTACTCTAAATGGGACCATCATTTACTAAATGAACATCATGCTGTATGGAATAAGACTGACACTAGAGACTGAGACCAGAAACTCATCAGGAAACTGTTTACTGAGCTCATAATCAACTGAGAAGTGGGTAGCTATGTATATTTGTATAGGCTACAATATTTTTCTAATTCAGATACTTTGCACTAAAATGTCAAGACCTGAATCCATCAACAACACTTCTAAACACCCATGTATATATAGGTTTTCAGCTGAACAAAGTTCCACTGTTTCGTCCTGCAGGCTTTGAATACTACGAGGCGAGCGCCAAGGAGAACATCAATGTGCGGCAGGTCTTCGAGCGCCTGGTGGACATCATCTGTGTGAAGATGTCGGAGCGCGTGGATGTGGAGGCACCGGTGGCTCCCGGCACCAAGACCACCAGACTGACCGACAAGCCTGCCCAGCTACCTCAGAAGTGCTGCTGATCGTCCGTCTCCGTTCATCTCTCTGCTGTCGCCTCGTCCGCTCCCCTAAGTTCTCGAGAAAAAGAAAAAAAAACATATTAACTATTGTAACATTCCTCAACACACTCTCTCTGCTTCAGTCCATGTTTGTGAGCAGTCAATAATCACTACGCCTACTGAGATTTCTGCTAACTAACATTTATATAGCCAGTTTCATCCCCTTTCCGTCCCCAAGTATCCGGGGTTGGCCCTTACGTAGACGGAGGAGTAAGGGTGGTAGTGCACTCCTGACAAAATGTCGTTTTAATTTGCAGTGTTTGAAAATATTGTAGAGCCACTGTTGATTACATCGCTGTGTGCAAATGCTTGCATGCTAACTGCGACTGGAGTTGTTTAATGACGTTCAAGCTAGATACAAAAAGTTAGACTAAAAGCATCTGGGATAGCATATCTGTGTCCTTGCCAAAATAATTCACAGTAGAAGCTTGTACCGTTAGGGAATACTTGCGCAAATAGGTTGATGTTGGGAAGAGGGTTTGAACAAACCAAATTAAAGGTGGGTCAATCATTCTGGAGAAAGATAGCTGATTGTTGAGTATCATTCCCCGAGGCTTTGGGTTATGGTAAATGGGAAAGAAACAAACTGACTCGGAGCGAGCCAAGTCGAGAATGATCGACCCCACCTTTAAAGAATGTACCTGACATGTGCAACACGCATCGGCGGAGGTCATGGAGCATTGCGTCATTTGACATGCATCATTTGACGTCACCAGACGAGCCATAAATACGCCACTGTGTGTTGCCTTTCCTGTGCAGATTCCAGACTTAAACCGGAAATACACAAACCAAAGGATACAGTTAAAAAAAGGCCACTAATTATATGGCAACAACAGTAATTGTAGAATATCTCTCTCACACTGCCCCAACCTTATCTGAATGTGGCTCTTCCTTTTGGTTGCACAACCACAGAAATTTGATTTTGTTCGGAGTGCACTGCCGACAGGAGCTGAAAGCAGGGTCCACAGGTAAGCACAGCACTGCCTCTCCTCTCAAAGTGTAGCACAACGAGAAACTTACAACACCACAGCTGTTCATGTTCACAAGTTTACAGGTCGCAGTCGTTCACCGAGTCATCTGCCGAAACATCAGATAGGCTGCTTCTCAAATAGCTAGTAGTAGTGAGTCCACTGGAATACAATATGCCTATAGCCCACTAACTGTTACTGGCCTTACTTAGTGCTGTTTTTTGGCTTGAAAGACGCTTTAGGGCTACACCACCAATGCACAACTCCCAGGCAGGGCTGCAGCCGAAATCATTTGAGTCAAATACTTAACAGGAGCGGGTCGAGTCCAAAACCCAATCTGATGCTTCCCTGTAGTGTTTGTAGTTACACAGAGAATGCCTTGTGATGTTTTAACAGGGTTCATTTAGATTATTAGTGTTGGGTAGAATTATGAAACAAATCAATGTACAGTACAGTATGTACTGGAACAATAATAACAGCACTTGCGTTGCACTTTCCTTAACAAACTTTACTTGAAGTGAGTACGCTATTACCTGTATCTGTTTCTGTTCAAACAGTGAAATTATCTGTATTCAAATACATACGTATTCGTAAAGGGACGGGGCTTTAACCAGATGACTGGACTAGCTGCAAGTTGTTATAAGATAAAGAACTAGTTAATCAGGAGGAACAATGCTGATTCTGTCCTGGCCATGGAACAGTGGACTGGCTCAGTGGGGGGGATGTGTTTTGTGGACTTGGAGAATCCTGTGGGGGGTACTGGAACCATTGCTATGAGCCATCTGGTCGTTCTTGGCACATAGTCAAACATGTTTTCAGTGGGTGAGGTTGCCCCTGGTCTCTGATCCTGTTGAGAGTGTCTGGTATAGGAACCTCAGAACTGCGTTTCTGCTGTTTGCAGATGATGTGGTTCTATTGGCTTCATCAGATAGTGGTGGATGGAGAACTCGTAATGATGAGATATTTTTCTTTACATCAACATTATTAGATACTCATCACGTAATCCTGAGATGCTAAGTCATAAATACAAGACAGAATTATGCAGGAAAAAAAACATTCTTTGGAGAATCAATGTAATGCACTTTTGTAGAAATCCAACTGGCTCCGAGAGGTGACCGTAATCTATGAATGGTGCTCTGTTTTGGCAAAATCTTCTATTGTGTCTTAACTGACGACTGAAGGACAAGAAATCTGTGAAATCTGACATTTACTTCATGAGGAAATCTGTTATGTCAGGAGTCATAGAATTTAATCAATGAAAAACTGACAAGACAAATTTAAGTCTGCAAATCCAGATTTGAGCATTCACAAGGAAAAATCTCCTTTTTAGAGCTTAAATCTTAACATGTGAAAGCATGCAGGGTAGGCTGAGAGGAAGCCTGATTTATCTACTTAACAAAGAGACTTTGAAAATTGCCACAAAAAGATGGAAAACAACTACCAAGAGACAGAACATGACTTCTTAAATAATTTCCCCCTGGGATTATTAAAGTATTTCTGTTTCTGATTCTTAAAGAGGCAAAATGACAACCACAGACAATAGGTATCTTGCTCCTATGTAGGAGGACGGTGTGGAGCATTTTACATATCTGTGTCCAGGGCCCCAATGTCTCATAGTCCGTCCATGATTCTATGATAACGTAACAATATGTGTTGGTGGTGTAAAGGAAACAGGAGTTTCACAGATCACAGAGTAAGCTCAGTTTCACCACTGAGACGCTGGTGAGACCTGTGGAGTTGATTTAAATACACAGTGACCTTGGAGGAAAGATATTTTGAACAAAGAGAATCTGTTCTTCGCTGTGGGATTAATGTGCTATTGGAGCACTTGATCTCTTTGACCCTAACTGTAATTAATGTAAAAGAGAAACAGAGCAGAAGGCTTCAGAACTGCAAACCCTTTAAAGTAATAATCTCGGAGAGCCTCATTAAATTATACCAATTTCTGACCCTCACACGCTGCAATAACAGGAAACAAGGCATGTACTGAACTTAATATGGGAGACAACATTGGGTCTTCTTTCTTTCTTTTCTTAACCTCTCAGCCCAGTTTGTTTGGCTGTAAACAAATAAACCAGTAAAATATGTCACCAAATCAGGAACTAAATCCTAAGTACGATACATGTCTGAGTGATACAAGGTAAATGCTGTGTTGCGTAACTAATGGTTACAATATCAGAAGCATGGTGTTTGTTCACAATAGTTCTGACAATCTGCAGCCAACTGTGCTGTCATGTTACACAGACTGAGAGGATGAGCTGTTGTATTGTGGCGCCTTGCTCTGCTGCTACTTTGACGGCCGTCAGTTGACACAATGTAAGGACTCAGTCGGCGTGTACGAGGCGTCAGTTTGTGATACAAACTGCCAAAGCTGACAATGAGCAGCTTTGAAGACGGTGAACAAAGAAGGGATACCGCCTGTTCACATCAACAGAGAAAATTACTGTTTAAAACAGAAGTTAAACTCAGGTTCCTTTTCTCGTTTACTATCACAACCTGTTTTGCTCCTATGAATTCGTACCTGGATGACAGATGTGTACCAGGGGACCACAGAGATTATTAGAAATAAACGATTGATTAAAGTTGGGGAAAACTATTCTGGAGAAATCAAATACGATGATATAGAGCGAACAGCCACAAGTGATATAACTGATGTTAGCTATGTTGTGGGTAAGCAAACCGTCGGTAAAGCTAACACAACGTTCCTGCTACTGTAGCTAACATCACAACAACAGCACATCTTGGCATCTGAATGTCCGTCGGCAATGTTAGCCGACACACAAATCCAGGCTGGAATAACAATTTCTTTGTGTAGTGAAGTGAAGTTTGAAGGCTGGTTTGGTGTCGGTGCCAAATCTCGAACCAGTTCTTTGTGTTTTGATTGCAGAGAACTGGCTCTTCCAGCACGGCACCAACACTTTTGCTCTTTTTCCACTAAATTAGTTCTGGTTCTTGAACCGGTTCTATTCAACATTCTTTAAGTTTTGGTGCGATCTAGCAAACCAGCCAGTTTCGAAGGGAGCCATTGTTATCATCAACAGACGACGCTGCACAATGAACAACGACCTGTAGAATATGAAATTAACACTTTGGGTCAACAAGGAAAACCTGATATTTGTTGGTTCCAACTTTTCAGGTTTCCGAACCAATTTAATTTCGACTGAAATGCTTTAAAGCATTAAACTCAAAAACTAGGAGCTTGAACCGTAACAGAGCCAGTTCCCTGTTGGCCTCTTTGCCTCTAGAAACAAGAACCGCTTACAACATGGGGGGTGCCTTCGTAACACTGAGCTAGCCAGCTGTTGGTCAGCTAACATCAATGTGAGGTGGATACAGTATATTACTCCTATTACTGTAATATTATTACTGACATGTATTAGTAATTGGTTACACAGCTAGTTACTGTGGAAAGTAATATTAATACTGTAATATTATTACTTTCTACAGTAACTAGCAGCAACTCATTACTGATTTGTACTTTGGCCCCTTTACTGATCTGAAATCACATCCTTGGATTATTTTTCTGTCTGGAATTCTAACTGTTTGTTTGTTTTTGTTTTTGTTTGTTTTTTAGCATTAGCTAATTAACTTTAGCTTGCTCTGCTAACGTGGAGAAGAACTCGCTGCTCTTAAATTCTCTATAGTTCACTACAAATACACTAAAACTACATGTGAACTAAAATCAATAAAAACTACACTAGACAGAAAACTGGAAACAATAAAAAATAAAATAAAATAAATATTAATATAAATAAAGTTTATTATCATTATTATAATAAGTTGAGTCACATTTCTTAAGGGCAAAAATATAACAAGAAATAATCCCAACAACACACACGTTAAAACACACCAGATTTTCCCTTTATAGTCAATTATTAAAGAAAAAAACATTTTATTATTTTTACTGTTCAGTTCTGTGTGAACTGGGAACTCTGGTCCAACAGATAAAACCTCTGTGCTTTAAATAAAGTCCAGTCTGTTGTTCAGAGGTTAAATCTGTTCACACACATGTTATAATAATTTACACAGTGAGCTCAGATTTTGAACACACTGCTCATAAATATGAACAGATTTCAGCCTCACAGTCGAGCTCGCTGCAGTTCAACTAAAATAACTTTAATGAACTCATCCAGTCTAACAGTGAACCAGTTGAACCAGTTCAATGTTTCATCTCTCCAGTCGGCTCCACTCAGCAGGAGGATCTCTGGGTCCTCGGGGCTTCTGGATACGACAATTAAACCCTGAAAAACACAAACACACAAATACAGAGTTAAACATGGTCTCAGATTGTGAATGATGTTTAATGTGTCTGTATAATCAGTGCATCCAACGAGCTAACTGTAGCCAAGCTAACTGGGGTTGGCCGGTTGGCTGGGTCCAACATTAAATACATTAAACTGTAAGATTATAAAATCAGCATCAGGGACCAACGTCTCAGTGACGAGCTGAAGGCAACAACCAGTTAAAGAGTTGGATTTAGTGAATTAAAAGCAGCTGTGAAGCAGGCGGACTGTCCCTTTAAGGAGCACTGTCCCTTTAAGGGCCCTGCTCTTTTAAGGAGCACTGTCTCTTTAAGGAGCACAGGTGTACTGACCGATGCCACCAGGTGAACACAGGTTGGTCACGTCTGTGACGGAAGAGGAGAAATCTTCGTAGTCGTCGTCCGCCTCTGAAAGATGATCAGCTGTAAGAGAGAAGAGTCGTTTATCTTCCTCATCATCATCACTTCTATCTTCCTCACATTCTTCCTTTCCTCTCCTCCTTACCTGCAACCAGCTGATAGTCTCTGTTGTTGCCTAGCGACGCTGGCCCCGTCCCCCGCCCTGTGGGATTGGCTTGGCGCTCGCATGGTTCGTAGATGGGCCGTGGGCGGAGTGGCTTGCCCAGGCATGAGGCCCCTTTTAGCTCGCGGTCGGACCGTGCCTGTTTAGACCGGCGGCCGCTGCCCTCCATGCGTAGGTTGTCCATAATGATTTGAGAAGAGGGGCAGCCGACTAAGGTTAAATATATAAATTATTTAAAGAGACATAATTACTATTTAATATAAATATAAACTATATATATAATATATTATACATTATATATGATTATTATATATTATATATTTATATTATATATTATTAATTATATATAATAAAATATTCAACGTCCACAGAAGCCGAAACCGCTGCAGTCGATCAGGTGTCTGTCTTTACCCTGGCTCGCACTGTTGGTTGGGCGTGGCTTACAGTAGAAGTTAGGCGGGGCTTGAATTGAAAGGGGCGGGTTGGGAAGTTTTGGGTTTTGGGTTTGACGACAGCCGGTACGTTATCGTTCATGGCCACTGCTGGAGGAAAGACTGCAGGAGAGGAAAGACAAGTGACACTCAACTTATGTTATATACAGAGTGGGTGTTGTGTGTTGTGTCTGTGTCCTGTTGTGTGGGTTGTTGGTTGTGTGTGTGGGTTGTGTGGTTGGTGTGTTCCCTGTGTTTCCGTGGTGGTGGTGTGGTGGGTGTGTTGTCTGGTTGTTTGTTGTGTGTGTCCCTGTGTTGTTGGTTGATGTGTGGGTCTGTGTTTGTTGGGTGTGGTCTGATGGTTTTGTGTGTGTTCTGTGTGTGTGTGTGGTCTGTGTGTTCTGTTGTGTGTTGTTGTTTGTGTGTGTGTGTGTGTGTCTGTGTGTGTGTGTCTTGTGGGTTCTGTGGTGTGTGTTTGTGGGGGTTGTGTGTGTGTTGTCTTGGTCCTGGTGTGTGGTGGGTGGTTGGTTTGTGGTTGGGTTTGGTGTGTCTTTGTGTTTCTTGTGGTGGTGGTTGTGTGTGTGATTGTGTGTCTGTGTGTGGGT